CAATAATGAATATAAAATCATGAATAATTTCACCATTAGAAAATAAATTACTTTTCATAGTTTAGCATAAGTCCTTTCCGTTTACATGCATTGTTTATATAAAATTGTTCTTAACCTGCTCTTTTTAATCTATAATATTTTATGAATATCTATCCAAATTAGTAATCAGTGGATAAAATTTGGGTCATCATTTTCAGTGGTTACGTGGTCTACCATCCCATTTATGTAGCACTATAGTTTAATTTAATTACAGATAGTTTTGCTATTATAAAATATATAGCACTGAAAATACTTAAATATTTATCTCTGAGTTCTTGGGAGATAGCAATCTTGAAAAGTCAATAAAGGTTGATGATGACCAATATCAATGTGTCTATATTTGCATATTTCATTTGCATATTATCATTTTAGACTATTATCTAATGGAAGAAAAAGAATAATTGTTATAAATAACAATTTTTTTGGGCGTTCACCTTCTATTTAATATTACCTGTCTATAACCTTCTTTTTTAGAATTACAGAATGAGAACTTAAAAGAATCAAATGAGAAACAGGATCATTTGGCTTCAGAACTAGAAGATACTAAAGTGTCTTTGCAAAGAAGCATGGTATGATTTAAAAACTAATTAGTGTGTAATAAGTCTCACACTGTCAATCAGTCAACAAATATTTATCAAATATTAATACTATGTACAAGGACCTGGAGCTTCAAATAGAGAAGACACAGACCTAGTCTATGAAATGCTAAGTTTAATTATAGACATTGGATGAAAATACATCAGAAATATAGTTAAAATATAAGACCATGCTAGGTACCAACATACATTTCTGTAATAGTTCTAAGAATTGAAAAAATACTGTGGCTGGATTGGCTAGGAAAACTCCATGGAGGAGTTGGAACTATAGGTGGGATTTGGAGAATGGTAAATTGAAATAAGAGTAGTGGGTGGGCATTCCAGGGTAAGGAGGAGAGATGATGGGTAGGAGGATGTGGAGGAGAGGAGGGGCAGGAAATTTATATAACCAGATGAGTTCAGCTTTTTTTTTTTTCCTAAAAGCCTTTGGTCATTGCTTTTGTTTTGTACTTTGTTTCATTTAGAGTACTCAGAAGGCTTTAGAGGAAGATTTACAGATAGCGACAAAAACAATTTATCAGCTCACTGGAGAAAAAGAATCTCAAATGGAAGAGTTTAATAAAGCTAAAGCTGCTCATTCATTTGTGGTTACTGAACTTAAAACTACTATCTGCAACTTGAAAGAATTATTGAGAACAGAACAGCAAAGGTAAAATATTTCTTATTTTTAATAAAATAAATGAATAAAACCAATTTACTTATGATATGTGGTGCCATTTTTCTATTCATTGTCAACTGATGTGTAACTCCTATAACAACTTTAATCAAGTCCTTTTTTAATGTATGAAGTGGGAGTACATTTTAAAAGTTTGTGTTGGGTAGGCAGGTATCCTAGGAAAAAATTTAGGAGCAGGTATTTTCTAGGATAGTTCCCCTGCATGCTTTGCCATAGAGTCAAGCTATATAGGCAAGCTCATAAGGACTGATGCAGTGATATAACATTTAATAAAACTTTAGATTGTTACTAGCTTCATAGAAATAACTTCCAGGCTATGTGGTTTGTTTTACTGGGATCTGTAACCTTCTTTCAGATTTGTAAATTTAGCAACTAGCCTGGTATACAGTAGGTACTA